GACTCGAACCTGCCTCTTTGTGTGCTTGCGTCCTGTGCGAAGCGTTCGTCCGCCCGAGACCCACTCGGAGCGGATCGGCGCGCAGCGTCACCGATTTCGATTTTGTTGGTGGATGAAATAAAAAATTTTCCGTTCATCATTTCGACGCAGGATCGAGAAGTTGCAAGGTGTCTTTTCGGCCTTTCCACTTTCGGGGAAATTCTCCGTTTAAATCATTTAATTAATCCTGGGATGCGTGACCGAATCATACATATTTACATATTTGTTATGGGGCCCCTTACCAAAATAACACTCGACAGGTCGACCTTTGAACAGAACATTCATTTATTAAAGGAACGACCGTGCAAGAAACCCACGAATCAAGCATTGCAATGGCCAGGGAGAAGATTCGCTGGCAAGGGTCCCAAAGATCCGTGTCCTTGCGTTGGCCGCTTTTAGTAAAATATTGAATTTCGAGGAAACAGAAGCCGAGTTCCGACCAGACGGGATCGAAATGAATGAAATGCGAGAGACCTTTGACGGAAAGGGATCGGAAACGAATTCCTGCGATCGCCAGAGGGGGCCAGGAGAACAAAAAAGCGGGAAAAAACGATCAAAGTAAAAAAAAAAATTTCCGTTTATCATTTCGACGCATGATCGAGAGGGTGCAAGGTGTCTTTTCGGTCTCGACCTTTCCGTTTCCCCATTTCAATCATTCAATTTATCCAGGGATGCGTGACCGAGTGTGGTACTCCATAGGCGACCTCTCTCGCTCTCCCCACTGGCGGAGTCATGCATATTTACGTATTTGCTATGCGGGACCCCCTACCGAAATAACACTCCACAGTCCGACTTGAGAAGAGAACATTCAATTTATTAAAGGAACGACAAGAAACCCAGGAAGGAAGCATTGCTATTCGCTGGCATGGGTCCCAAAGACCCAAGTGTCCTTGGCTCGATGCGAACGCAGGACCCGCCTCGACCGGCATCCCGCATTCGCTTTGTAGTCGTTCCTCTTCTTGGCTTGATGAACGACCGGCGTTTCAGCGTCGACAGAAGAAGAGAAAGATTTTGACCGCCGTCGTCCTCCATAGGAGACGTCCCTCGCTCCCCCCACCGGTCGAGTCAGCAGCCGGCGGACGTCGACTCCGCATGATGGCAATGCTCATGGGACCGGCGAAGTTTTTATTCCTTAATCCGGAGCATTTCACTGATCGAAGCCATCGGGCTGTGCTTCCGTTTCTTCGCTCTTGAGGTAACTGCTGAAATTGATTTGCTGCATTACAGGACCCGTTTTTGCATCTTCCCCATGAGAATGCTTGATGCATTTCATTTTTCTCTTGTAACATTTTTGTCCAAAATTTCTCCGTTTTTATGCATTCGTATTTTCCCTTTTTCTCCTGTAAACTTTAAAGACTGTATTTTTTCATTTTTCTAATTGTTTTCCCCCAATGCTTCCTTGTTTTTGATCCTCGAGAGATCCCAAACTCCCGAGGGAGTTCAGTCTGCGACCTGATGGGCATTCAGAGCTACAGTCTTTTCGGCTAGTCTAAGGCGATCAACTCGGACTCTGTTTCCCAAAGGCTCAATTTATCGTCCAGACGAACTTTGCTCTCGTTTTCACCCGAAAAGGGCTGTTGCACCTTTTACCCTGTTGCACCTTTTACCCTGTTGCACCTTTTACCCTGTTGCCCCCGCCCTCGGTTCTCGGAAAAGTCAAGCGCAACCTCGATCCCACGAAACCTCGATGCCTGCCACCCCCGCCCCACCCACACTCCACCCACACTCACCCACACCCACCCACACCCAACCTCCACCTCCACCAGCAGATTCTCTCTAAAAGAATTAACTTGTTAACGACCCCAGGAAACAAACGAACATTCAATCAGCATCGCACGAACGTTAATTTTGTGGTGGCGCTTCATCTAACTTAAGTCCATATTTCGACGTCGCTCATCGCAATACTCAGAAAAGCGTCGAAATTCAACTGAACCTCGAGCAAACGTTCCAAACGTTTATTCATTGTTGATTCTAAGTTATTTGTTTCAAATCGATTTGCAGGGTAGTGCCCCTAGTACTGGGTCAGGAAATATACATATCGTGCTGAAAGTACTACATCTAGTACTTTCCAAGGAACAGCCTTCCTCTTCCCGCCCTACGAATTAATCAAAAGTTTAAACCTTTCCTTCCCCAGCGATGAGGGCGCGAGGAGCCGAAGTAGGGAACTATCGTTCGATTCCTAGAAATTCCTCGTCCAATTGCAATATAATATTTAATAATTTTAATAATAATTGCAACCTCAAGCGTGCAAGGGGTTCTCCACGGGGTATGAGCTTGTTTATCGCCTGGACTCCGTGATTGTCTGGAATATGGGAATAAGAAATGACTGAGTGTCCGATTTCATCGATTGCTATAGTGTGAATAGGAAAAACATACGGTGAGGTGCTAAGCACTCCCGTGAGGGACGATTCCACGGAAAGAGGGAAGGAACTTTTGCGTACTGTACAGAAAGCGAGACCCATACCGACATCTAGTGGCATGGAGGAGAACTTCAGCTTGCGACTCGGGCGCTTCGGTCCGATATCGGCAATAACGGCGAGCTGAGCGCAGATTCAGCGGATTCGTTTCACATCGGAGCTTCTTCCGAACGGCGATCCAACGTTTCGCTTTTTTTTTGCATTTTTCGTTCCGAGAATCCCCGGTGAATGGCGCTGCTGAACGTCGAGGCGGGAAGCATTCCGCCAACGTTAATTCGTAAAACTTCTTTGTCGTTTCTTGAAAAAAAAAAATGTTCTCCCGTATTGGACTGGCATGCTTCATGATGTTACCAGAAATATTATTCGCAAAATTCCAAGCGTTCGGCGGAGGAGAGGCCGGGGTCATTTCAACTTTTCCCTCTCCGACTTTGCCGTCGGAGAGCATGCCGTGGTCCAAGAGGGAGGGGGGGGGGGGGCCAAAGGGGGGTTTTGCCCCCCCCTTTTTTTTTCGACACGCCTTCNCTGACGGTTTTTTTTTTTGGGGGCGGGGGGGGGGGGGGGGGGGGGGCCAAAGGGTGGTTTTGCCCCCTCCTTTTTTTTTCGACAAGCCTTCGATGAACCGAGAGGTCGTTCATGCGGATAGTCGAGTGAGAGCGAATACAGTTATGTGCGGTCGTCTCAACTTCCCTTTTAGGGGACCGAGTATTACGTAACTCTCGGGAGAGGGGGGGGGGAGGGGGAGGGGGAGGGGGCGGTGCGAGGTCGAGCGGGGGCGGTTTGCGAGGGGAAAGGCGGAGAAGGAAACTTCGGTAATCCGCTGTTGGCTCTGGGGATGAAATCCTGCTCTTTGCCTCCCTTCCCAAACGTGAAAATGATTAGAGTGAGGCTTCCTGCGTAAAAGACTGCAGAGCGCTGACTCTCCCTTCGTCATTGAGGAAACCTGAAAATCCGTTCCGGCAGCCCTGCTCTGCACGGATGCCGCATGGGCGCGCGGGTAGAGCAAGAGGATGGCAATTCCAACGCAGCTCTGTCGTTGAACTAGTGTATTAGTTTGGATATTTTCATGGATCCAACAGTCTCAGGGAAATCCGATCTAGAGCAGACCTGAGCCTTGTAATATTTATTCAATATAAGAGTCTAGGCGTGGTTCATCGCAAGCTATTTTACGCCCCACGTGCCGTGTTCAGGTGCAGTTTAAGGAAATAGTTTTTTTTTTTCCTTTTTGTTTTTCCCCTCTCCCCTTGGCTTGGGTGATATGGAATAGTTGTTCCTGAAGACACGAAAAGTTTAGCCGACACAGCTACAGCCATGCCATTAAATCCAGCAGCGGCAAGTACTTCTCGCATCATGGTCTAGGTCTGACTGCCCTTGCTTCTGCTGAGTTGTGTCCTGCACTCTGGCAATTCACATCGCAGATGAGCCAGTAGCCTAGAATTATCCGAAAATGGATGAGGAGAGTTATTTGAATGTTATGGAAATTGCTGGGCCCAGGCTTCTGCCACCCCCTGAACTTATGATTGGGCAAATTTGCAAAATTGGATAGTTGACATCCTTCTCTATTGTTGCTTTTGGAGGCTTGTGTAGCTGATTGGAAATGTGATTGAAGTTAGTCAATACCAATCTTCAAGGCTTTTTTTTTTCCTTTACAAGTGCATCTCAAATATAATTTTTAATATTAAATTTGTTAATCTTGCCTTTATGGAGCCAACTTTCTGTTACTGACTTTTACATGATGGTTGTCCATGCACTGCAATGTATCTGTTGAATTGGCCTCAAATACAGCCTATAAGTAAAGATGGGATGTGTAGGAAAATTGAAATTTTGCAGGTTTTAGTTTATTTCTGCTGAGGACAGAAAGAAAAAAAATTTCTGAAAGTTCTTTCCCTGCATTCAGCTATGGGAAAAATGTGATATTAGCCAAAAAAAGGTGCAGTAACTTAATGGTAAGTTGATAGCACTCTCCTGATTATATTACTGGTCCAAAATTGCTGGTGATTTTGCTACACTTAATGCATCTGAGCCTTAGAACCATGCAAATTTTGATGAGAAAATAATATTTTTTAAAAGTAGAATACTTGAATAGTATCTGAAAGGTGTAGATATCTATAATGAAAATATTTTAAAATCTTGTATGTCTTATGTAAAGATTCAATTTCAAAGCAATCTTTGTGTCTTTTCTTTATTTGAATCAAACCTCTTATACTGGATTTGTCTGCTGATGAAGTGGGATGCACCAAACCCATCTCCCCTCAAGTCCTCTGTGCATTAAGTACTAAAATACTGTACACATACAAGCATATAATAAGATTGGAAGTGGGACACAACACACCACTTGATGCTTTCAGGCTTGTAGGTTCAGACCTAATATGAGAGGCCTATCAAGGGCTTATTTTAGGATGCCTCGATGTAGTATTCTTTAATAGATCCTTGATACAGTTCGTGTCAGAGGTTAGTCGCCCTTGATTCCCTTGGCAGATCTTTCTGATCACAACCCAAAACTCAATGTATGTGCATGAGTTGGGCTGCTAAGAGTAGTTGCTCAAGAAGAAATCCTCTCTTTTTTTTGCAGTTCTGGCAACATTAGGCTTGCTCTGAGCTGAGAAGCAAGTTGCTCAATGGCAACAAAAGGAAAGAAGAAAAAGTCTTCCAAAGAAGAGCAGTATGTTGTTTCTAGCTTTCCAGCTGTAAGTGTAGGCCTATGTCTTATCTTTACTTCATTGCAGTGTTTACAATCTTGTTGATGGAGCTCATAGGGCCAGCCAAATTTGTAGGTTATGTCAGGCCCACTTCCCTGGAGCCATGTGGTATCCTTTTTCTGGTGACACAATCCCAATGTCTCACCTTTTGCTTACTTGACTGTTTTCATCTTCCAGAAAGCATCTGTTGAGACAACAACTGTGTCAGAATGGCTTCTTGGAGGTCCTAGAATATCAGTGAATGGTTTTGATAGACCTGAGTTTTTTTTTTTTCAAATCTCACAACCACAGACTGTATCAAAATGGGCTATCAAGGTGTTAGTTTCAGAACATTAGTCTCCAAATATCAGTGGAACCCTTGGAGCAATTTCCATGCATCAGGAACAGATTGATGTAAAGTAACAGTTTTGACTGGATTTCTGCCATTTCTTAAAGAAGTGCAATCAGACAAAGAATTCATTGATGTCTTGTGGACTGAAGAAAATCATTTTTCCATCAATGGTATTGAGAATCAGCTGGGTGTGGAAATTTGGAAGACAGAAAAGGTGACTACTGTGTGCTGTTCGTGGTGTCTGGAAATATTTTCTACCTGACAGCTTAGTCAATGAAACACAGAGGGATGGAATTGGAGTCAGGACTTGTCACTTCAGTTGAAGTTTCTTGGCAATCTAATGGGTGTTATATTTTTCTGGGTGATAGCAGACTAGGATCTGTTTTGTGTGTATCCTTTCCATGATGCAGAATCTCTTTATTTGAACTCTTGTGAGAGCTAACCTGGACACCCTTAAACTCAAGAAGTCTCTGCAGCATTAGAAAGCAGTCATGTTGCATTTTCCCTACACTTCGCGATGAGATATATGTACTATCTTTGTGGTCCTTGATGATGAGGACAGTTCCTGCATCCTGCTCTTTGCAAAAACCTGCACCTAAAATATGTTTGCTGCCAGCTATATGAAAAAAATATGACCATTTGTTGTATGCACCATAACCCTGTATGGCTGGAAGTACTCCTTGTGTCACCATCTGGTTTGGCTTTTTTGGGAAAGGGTTCATTGCAGAAGTATTCTTCCTTGAGACCTTCTGGAATGAAGAAAACAGTCATAATGGCTGCTAAATGGTAGTAATATCTATTTGAACAAAAAGTTGAAAAGCTGAAAATTGATGAAAAATGCCAGAGAAAAGTGATTCAGCTAGATGGAGGATGATCTTATTTCGTCAACACTTTAAAGACTTTCCTAGTAGGAAAATATGCTGATCAAGTGATGGCAAGAGGATGGGGTTTCTCATGCTCAAATGACATGCAAACTCGCTTGACTGTACATCCAAAGCCTATTGGCTGTGGGGATTGATGATAACTCAGGATTATCAAAGCCATCCCTTGATACTCTAGGACTTTCAAGAAACTGTCAGTGTAGAGTTTGCTTGACTCCAGTTTGAGAATTCCCATTTTGCATCAGAATATTCTTTCCTATATATAGAACATATTGAAATTGTGATTTTTTTCAAGTACCAGTATCTTGAAGAGCAGCACATTTTGAAATACTTTTCAGGATGTGATGGTTTGAGTTTGAGTTTTTAAGCACCAGCAGATTTTAGTTAGTGTTTTTTTTTATATTTGGGACCTGTTTCTTCTTTTAGAAAGTTATAGTTATAAAAAATTTAAGGATTTTTTGATTACATAATTATAAGTGTATCTCCTTTTACTATATATGCAGAGAAGGCTTAAACCTGTGTGAGTAAAAATTGTTTATATTAGGCCTAGAATAACATGCATAATGTTTGTGTTGTTGCCAAGGACTTGGAAGTTGAGCGATTTTGAAATTGGGAGACCATTGGGCAGTGGAAAATTTGGGAGGGTTTACCTGGCTCGAACAAAAGAGGGAGAGTACATGGTTGCTCTCAAAGTCCTCTTCAAGGAACAGCTTATCAAATATCGAATGGAGAATCAGTTGGTCAGGGAGATTGAAATCAGTATCAACATCGGGAGGTGAAGCTTCTAATATTTTTTTAGGACAATTTCCATTAGCTGATTCCTTTATTTAAATATGTACTTGTTCCAGACACCCACATATAGTGGAGTTCTACAACTATTTTGACGACCATGATCGGATCTACCTCATGCTTGAGTACTGCTTCTACGGAGAGCTGTTCCGGGTGCTGCAGGACAGCCCAGGAGGACGCTTCCCAGAGAACCAGTCAGTCTCCTTCCTATCTTGGAAATGATTAGTATGGGAGTTCATCACTGTCATTTCACTGGGTTCGATTCAGATGCTTTAATTGCTTTGTATCTTGCTTTCTTGAGCTGCTGATCATTGGAAACTAGATGTGGCTGAATAGTTGATAGGAATTTAAATGAATCTATGGTTTTCTTCTGAATACTCCAGTTACTCAAGCCATGCTTTGGGAGAACCAATTTCTATGAATTTTTGTAAAGCCTTTTGGGAACATATCAATCTATTCACAAATGCAAGTTTGATGAAAAGAGCAATTATGAGAGAAAAGATATTAGTTATTGGTATTTTTTTTCATCCCAAATAAAATTATTTGGGAAGATTAAGCCTACAGAAGTAGGCAGACTCAGGCACTTTAGTTAATTTGTGACAATTTTTCTTATTTTTTATCAAAAGTATGGCTACATGCTGAGAAAAACTGATGAATGACAGAGCTCTACAGTAGCCAGACACTCAAACTCAAACACATTAAACTAGTGTATATCCATTATGTGAGTAGGGCCATGCTCACATGTGGACAATGGAATTGGACGAAGCACAATCTCTTGGGCAGAATTTCTGAAACCTGAAAGCAAAGCTCATTCACAACCATTGGTGTTTCCTAGGTGCCTTCTGTAGAGCTAGCATCTGCATAATGCACTACTGGGAGGTGTAAACATGAAACCTTGACCTTAAGATTTGAAGCAGTTATGGTGTATTCAGTGCATTTGAAGTAAAATAAATGACTAAGATGATGTGCCAAACTGAACAAAAGTCCTTATGCCAAAACAGTCTTAGAGGCTCTAACAAGATATGCATTAAGAAAGGACATATTTTTGGTTCTTGAACCTTTATTTTCGTAAGTAATATTGGGAAGGTAAAGCTTTACTGTAATCACATCAGATTTTTTAGTGGCACATTATAGTAATGGGTTACTTTTTGCTGGGAGTAATCACCCTTCTGTCTACTTAGTCAGTCTACTTTTTCTTCCCAAAAAATACTGCAATAACATTTATTTCCTTTCTTGCATGAATTGTGGGATGGCCATTTCCCCTATGCCTCATGACCCCCTCCTCCATCCTTCATCTAGCACCCTCCTCTCTCAACCCTTTGTCTTCTGCTTCTCACCCTGTTGAGTTCTTGTCCCTTGGTCTTCCATACTTCCACACCTCCCCCTCCTCACTTGTGGCATGTTTGGCAGTATCACTTTCCCCCATTCCATTGTGCAAGTTTAACTTACATATTACCTACCAATACTCAAACTGAAAAGTAATCCAAGAGTAATCCAATTACTGATTATACGAGGGTGGTTCAGATGAAAATGAGAAAATTATTATTTTTACAATGCAAATGAGCTTTTCTTTTTGACAGAGGTACTGATGTGTTGCTTTGGTTCAGTTAGAACCTCTTTGAATGTTCACATTTATTTTTCAGGAGGTGCTAGGGGTCACCCAGTGAATTCAAAATGGTGGCACATCTGGATACTTGCACCAAAGAAGAGATACAAACTGTGGTCAGATTTTTTAATGCTGAGGGAGTGAAGCTAGTCAAGATATGGGGGTAGTTTGACTATGAGTGAGAATCTCAAGTACATACTAAAGTGCTGCAAGGTGACTCCTATGACATCCAATTCTTACTGAGATTCTCACTCATTGTCAAACTACCCTTGTATAACGTAGGATGAAGAATGTGTATGGTGATAAGTGTTTGTCCAGGCCCTTGTGTATGAATGGGTTCAGAAGTTCAGAAACTACGTCAGCGATCTCTATGATGCTGCTTGACCTGAACAGGCAAAATGCATAGTCACGCCAGGGATGATGCGTGTTGTTGAGGAGCTCATTCAAGTCATCCTATGATATATCTCAGCTGGCATTAAAAAATCTGACCACAATTTCTATACCTTCTTTGGTGCAAGTTTCCAGATGTGCCACCATTTTGAATTCAATGGGTGACCTTTAGCATCAGTTGAAAATGAATGTGAGCATTCAGAGAGCTGCCAAATGAACCAATGAAACATATCAGTACCGCTCTCACTGACAAAACTCATTGCTAATATTATAATGGTTTTTATTCATTTGAACCACCCTTGTAGAATACTTTCCTCAGTAAGTAATCTGAATACAACTATAGATTAATAATATGTGCTCCAAAGGAATTATTAATCAGTTTCAGGTTATTTTAGAAAAGTAACTTTTCCAATACTGGTGATAGGCATGGGAATGATTCTAATGAAGCTGACTTTTTCTTGGTGGTCTTGAACTCTGTCTCCAATAGTTCAGCCATTGTTTAGTGAGTAAATGAGCCAGAATTCTAGCATCTCTCTGTGAGTGAAAGAGTGAAATAAATTTACCAAATTTAGCAAAGATCCAAGTTTGTTAGCATTCATTTGTCCAGATTTTTCTCCACTTTCATAGGTCTTTGCTCTCAATCTGAGCAACTTGTTTGATCGCTTTTCTAGTTGTTTTATGTTGTGCTTGCATATGCCTATTTCTTGTCATTTCCACACATTCTACAGGGCAGCCACATATGTGAAACAAGTGGCCAATGCTTTGGACTTCCTCCATTCAAGAGGTATCATCCATCGTGATATCAAACCAGAGAACATCCTAGTTGATCATGGTGGGAATCTCAAGGTCTCTGATTTTGGATGGTCTGTCCATGTCCATGGTGGGGACAGGTCTGTGGAGATTCCTCCTCACATTTATGAGTGGAGGCCTTGCATTTGCAGTGATTACCTGACTCTATTGTTCCTGTAGGCGAGAAACTATGTGTGGGACACTTGACTATCTGGCTCCAGAAATTGTGGCAAATGAGGACTATGGTTATGATGTGGACAATTGGTGTGTGGGAGTTCTTTGTTATGAAATGATCAAAGGATATCCCCCATTTGAACACGACTCCCAGAAGGAGACCAGACGTCGCATCACAGCCCTCTTTTACAAGTTCAACAATAGATTCTCTGATGGTGCCAGAGATCTCATTTCCAAGGTAAATACAATATAATAATTTATATCCAGGTAGGGTAATTGTCTCTTGCAGATCTAATGAGGGTGAAGTGTGTACACATGAAGCACGTAATCAAAAATATAGGGGGGAAAATTTTTTTTTTAGTATCTTATTGAGATCAGACTTCATTATTCCCAGCCACAGGACCATGTTTCCCCTTTTTTTTGAGCATCTAAGAATATGTAAGTCAATGTTCCCTCACTGAAAAGGCACCTGAGAGAGAATGAAAGATACTTGAGAAGTAGGCCATAATCCTTGATTGAAGTGCCTGTTGAAGGTTGTACTGCTTGCACAGGACTCTCACCTGGGTCCATCTCCAAATTTATTGATTGGTGTGTCTAAGAGGCCTTGTATGGCTAGAGAATCAAATGGGTCACATACCCCATGCCCAGTCTGCTGATTCAATCACTTCTATCTTTCTGGATCTCACTTCGCTGCACTCCTGTGTTTATCCCTCTGTCCCTCTTACACCATGGCAATTATCTCATTGTTTTTGTTGGCACTTAAGCTGAAGATTCCCATGGGCTATATCTCCTACCTCACAATAAACAGCAACCTCTAGCCTATTAAATGCACTAGAAAATGGTGGCTACTATAAGCACTTGATTCCTTGAGTAAATTTCATTCTCAATCCAGGATTGCATGAACTTTCTTATTTAGCAAGAGGCTTGAATGTTACCTGGGCATAATTCATCCCATGCCCTGCCTATGCAGAGCTAACAAAAACTGGAAAAATCTGAACTGGATGATGCATATAAAATTTTTCCTAAGGTACTATGTATTGGCTGTATTCAATGTGCAATGAGGATGCTTTACTTGAAGCTCTCTAAGCATGGATGATGACCGCAATTTTTTCCTGCCATATTGTCTGTGTTTAGTGCTGTATATCTGCATGAAATGTTTTCATTAGTTTCTCTTGTTTCAGGGAAGCTATCCTTCCTTTAGGGATAGTGACTGGTGATCTGTGATTGTAAATACAGAGTTGAGCCACAGGTAACCTAAGAAATAACAAATCAAAGTGACACTTTTTTACACTTCTTTAAGTGAGATCAAGTGTATGTGGATCCAGGGAAGAATGTGGCATTTATTTTCTGGGATGTGTGAAGAAGTCATCCACATGGAGTTCAACAAGCAGCACTGTTAATGCTGTAATGCTGCATATTACAAATTCAAGGTTCAAGGCTTGGACAGGGATGTTAGGAAGTGTATTTGCTCGTGAGTCCTGTGTCGAGGTGGCACGCAAACTTTTTTCTTTTTTGTTCAGCTCAAGGCTTCCATTTGCAAAGAATATCAAGGCTTGCTGACATGTGGGGGACTTTCTCCTCCATGGAAATGCCTGTCCTCTTACAGTTCATGCACAAATGGAGACCCATCAACAATATGGGATGGATGGTGCTTCTACTTTCCCCATATAGTCCGACCTGGCCCCCAGTGACTTCCATTTCTTTGGCCCGTTGGAGAATGCACTGGATAGACTGCTCTTGCACTCTGTGGCACATGTTCAACAGATGGTCTACCAGTGGCCATGCAGCAGCTGACCTACCTCATGGGAATCCATAATCTTACATAATCTTGTATCACACAAGCATTTGAATGTGCTGGAGGGATGTTTAGAAGAGTGGAGGGGCCCATTTCTTGATTCTGAATATTTTGGTCTGAATCCTGTTTCCTACTTGTGTTTCGCAGCTTCTTCGGAAGAAACACCGACGACTGAGCCTGGTCGCAGTCCAGGAGCATCCGTGGGTGGTTGCAAACTACACTGATCCAGCTAGTTTTGTGCCAAAAGAAGACAGAGCCTCTGCAGAGACCCCACCTGCAGCTGCCTCGAGCATGGAAGAACAGCCCTCTTCTCAATTGAACGACTATACCATGGATGTTGAAAGCAGTGTTGGCAAATAGGACACTGAACTTCATGCTAGAATTGTCTTCCATACAAGTAGATATGACCAAACTGGGAAATTTTTATCCATATCTATGAGAGTGGAAACCTTGTCATACATGCTCAGTATATCGATACATGTTTGCCTAGCGCTTGGTGTGTACTTTGTCAACAGGATTCCACTCTGCTTGAATAGCTTCAAAATTAGTCAGTTTAACCATTTCTACAGGAATGAAAGACATATGCAGGAAACGGTTGCATGTGGGAGAAGTGGGACTGCATGCTTAAATGTGCCAAAGTCACCATGTTGGTGTGAAGTACTTACAGAGCTCCTATTTCAAGTGAACCTGAAAAAGTTTTCTGTCTTTTCCCTGAATTCTGTGATTGCACGTGAAAGCGAAAGGTGTTTGTCTCATTGATGGGTATTCACACTATGGATTTTTTAAAACCCTGTCACATAAGTCTCGGCTCTGAGGTGCTCGTTGTGATCTCATGACATGGTGCTGTAAGGTGGAGTTCAGTGTGGCTCTCAAGGCTCTATGATTTGATGCCTCTTAGCCATTGAGTTGTGCATTCTCCATTAATTAAATTTTGTCTTTTAGGTCAAATAAAAGGTCTCCATATTTCACTGTCTAATGAATAAGTTAATTCTCATTAGTAGATAAGGTTCATATTTCAAATACTATTTTGACGCCTTATCCCTGACAGGATCTGTTGGTTTAATTTGTTGCAGAGCCCCTCAATATGCGATCAACAAAGAAACCATATTGCATCATATGCATAACATTGATTTTTTAATCTCAGATCAGACCTTAATTCCTAGCTGTTCTGAACTAGATCAACGTGAAAGTGATCATTACAATTCATTTGGATCATTTTCCCAGCAAGTTGCCTGGACTTGGATAATTTATATAAGTGTCATGTTCTCGTTGCCCCCTGATGCTCTTCCTTTCACCCCTTTTCGCCCTCGCCATGGGGCATGTACCAGCCCATTCACCTTGGCTCGGAGAACTACTTTCTCCGCCCAGACTTGCCCTTAAAAGCTGGAGGTCTCCGGATATTCGGGGCATTCGTGGAGCAATTCGCTCAACACTAAT